TTCGAAATAAAGAAGGGACATTTCCACCAATCACATGAACGTATTACCAAACATGATCACGTATTGTAATGAAAACGTCAACCACCACTTACCAGTAGCTAAACAAATCCAGGAGAACATAAAAACAGCCTAAAAATGGTGGTTATCGGAGACATATCACAATATTGATAAACTGGTTTAATGTGGCCAAGAAGGAACTGCTACAGACTACTAAAATCTTGAAATGTCAAATGAATTGAGAATATTATAGCAATAAAGTTACAGAGTGGTAGGTTCTAATATATAATTATATTACACATTTTCTCCTTAGCTTGTCTCGAGTAACTTGAAAGCTAAAGTTAATGACTCAGTCAATTTTGTCGTGTATTCATAGCAATCTTACCATCTTTATATATGATTTAATAAAACGAATAAATTTCCATTGAACGTGCTTCCCATTTAGTAATGTGGGCGTTATAATGTATCGCTCAATCCCACTATTCTTTGATAAAAGAGTAGCCCAAGAGATGGCAATAAGTATTGTTAAAATAGCTGACTTCTTTTTAGTCTATCAGTTCTACCTTAGGGGCTGATAACGCAGATAGTCTTCGTGTAACTTTGCGCGAAATTCAAAAACTGCTTATTTGTTTGTTTTTTTAGAGCAAAGCCACAATGCGCTATCTGTTGTATCCTCTGCGGGGGATTGAGCCCCGAATTTTAGCGTTGTAAGTCTCTAGACTTTCTGCTGTCCCACCAGGAGACAATTCAAAAACTAATAAACAAACTGACATTAAATTTCACCACCATAAAATGACAAATTAAAGCGCACAAAACGCCTAAACTGTTTAATTAAAACTCAAAACTAAATTCAATAATATCATAAGATATTAATTAAATCCTTTACTTTTGTCACAAACAAAAAATTTTAAAACTAAATAAAATCTATATCAGCATTCAAATACAACGCAAATAATATATTAGAAAATTCACTTAGCCAAACCACAACAACAGCAACACAATATTATAATAATAAAAATATTGTAAAACAGTTTCCATATAACATGAATACAAAAGTAGCACATAAAACTGAAATGAGAATAAACAAAATACAGGTCACAACAAATAATTAAAATGTAGACCATGAACTCGCCAACATATAAGACATAAAGACTGAAATCAATGAAACTTTAAAACATATTTTATGGAAACAAGTGATTAGAAAAGTGTACAACAAACTATTTCTATACCCTACAATAAGTCATAACATAGTAATACCAACTGAATATGGAATACAAAATTATATATCGTTTCAAACAAACTACAATCCAGGCACAACAACATGCGCATTCACCTACATATAAAAATGATGGAAACGAAAAATCAGACACAAGAGACTACAATGTATATAACGGTTAGAGGTAAATAAATTGGATAACCGAATTGCATAAGTTTGGCCATATCATGCTCGTAATCACCGTGAATTTTAAATCAAATGAGATACAAAAATTCGAAGTGCATGATTGTAACAAATAACTACCAAAGAAAAGCATACAGGTTAACTTAAAACCAGAAAATGACTGAACAAACAAATTTTACAAGAACAAATTCAAATACGATGATGCCATAAATGACAATAACATTTACACAAATATTTAGAGAATGCATATAAGAATAAAATTATATTATAAACTATATTTGAAATGGAGCTCAGGTGGTCTGGAAGTTAGAGTTAGGGGGAAGGGCCCTCTAGAGCTACACTTGATTTCTAATCATCATGAGACGTTTATTCAAAAGCATTCTGGGTCTTTCTTGTGATCTGTTGTATCCTGACCATTTCATCTTCTATGACTTCGTGCTTAGACATAACGTCAAATAAACCATCTTTATTTTGTGTTTTTAAATGATCTGCTCTCATCTCTCTCATGTTTCAGGCTTCTGTAGAAGTTAATTGTTAAATCTGACAGAAGCGTCGCCACCTCCCCATGTTTGATGGATTCAGTTCCGCTGATAATTTCATATAATGCGTTTTGATCAGCCCCTTTGTCGTCTTTGGGTGTCTGTTAACGATGGGCATTTGATTGATGGTTGTGATGGGGATGTCGATTATGCTATACTCACTTTCTCCTTATAAACTTGTACTTCTCATTGACCCACTCAAACAGTTGCAGGATATACCACTTCTTCTGCTTCCTAATCTATTGATCAAAAGAAGATGTGTTCACATATCTATTTATTGTCACGATATCACCGATAATCCCTTTACTAGACAGTAAAAAATCCTTTGTCTATACCTTTTGGAATGGTTACCTATAGCAGGACTTGACAGGAGTGGCCAAAGTTATGCATGATTTCATTTCTCTCGTGACTTTGGCTGATAGTGTTTTTTGCTTCTGCTGTAAGTAGTACTGCTAGAAGAAGATCATAAGTCCAGTTGTTGCCTTGTTCCATTGCCTTCTCAAATTGAAGGTTTACTGAAATGATATCTATAAGTTGAAGCCAAATTGAAGGTTTCAGCATATCGCCAAGACCATTCTTCAACCATAGCAGGTAATGGTGCTGGCATGGTATTTGCTAGTGCTCTCTGTTGGCTGTTAAAAGGTAAAGAGATGGATGAAAAGAGGGGATTATTTACAGTATGCAATTTTTTATTTAGTTTATTATATTGTATTTTCAATACACTATCAAATATTTGTTGTTCATGGATTTGTGTCTCGTCTCATTATTTTCACCATCTACTAATTGCATTTCAAAAGGAAATACATCTTAAAACATGAGATTCGAGAATCTCCTGTTATTAGAAGGCCTAACTTTCTACTCTGTTGGTTTTTCCGAGAGATGCCTCAAATATCATTGACAGTATTCGCGAGTTTGATTGTTAGCACGAAGCTCAGATCAAGCAGTTAAAGATGTGATGTGATGCTTACTAAAAAAATCCTGATCTCAGTCTGCCTATAGCGTGAGAATACTAAAACAAAGAATCCTACTATTATACAAAAGTTGAGTTTCCTGATTGCAAAATAGATGAAGATTTCAATGACTTCAATCAAATTACGAAAATATCAACTAATGTTCCATTACAGAAGAAGCGTACAATGATCTGACCATGATGATAAAGTATTATATATTAGTGACAGACTGTTTCACAACATCTCCCTTGTCAACAGTAGAGAAGACCCTAACAGATTCCTTCGACAAGTCGAAACCTATTTTATGTGCTACTTGTTGAAATTATTCTCGTGATACCTTCATTTAGAGAAGAAGCAAGCAATGTAGTGCAGTATTAAATCATTTAATTGTAAAGAAAATATTCAGAATTCTTGTGATTTAGGAAAGGTTGGATCTGGCCGTGCACGTGCCCGACATACTTAAGATCGCGATTATAAAATTTCGATCTATAAATATAATGAACCGCAAAAAACTAGTTTGTTGAAGAAGGGGTGGTGTAAAGTGAGAAGAAGAAGAACAAATATTCAACAAATTGACAGAATCACGCATTAAAGCATAATAAAATATAATTTCATTTGAAATATTACTTGCTTCCTGTCCACAGAATAGGTAACCTCGCTATTCGTTTACAAAATAAATAACAAAGTGCTGTTTGCAATGTAAGTGCTCTCCAGATGCTCAGCAGTAAGTCTAAAGTCTTACAGTGCTAAAAACCAGGATTCGGTAACTATAGTGGGAACAACGCAGAGAGTCTATTTGTGTAGCTTTGCGTTTGACAATAAATAAAAAACAAGCAATGTAAGCACGCCCTGGTGGTGTTCAGAAAACTTTAATGGCTTGGCTGCGTATATGATTTTACACAAAATATTTTTTTTTCATATAGCATAATTGGTCCATGTTGTTTGAAAACATCTAGAACTTTTTGTATTCTTGGATTTACAAAACTGTACAAAAAAATCTAATAGCGTGAAAATCAACGAAAAAATATCTTCGATAGAAACTAGTTACAAAAGTATACTTGGACAGAGAGTGTCAAAACTTATGAAGGGTTTAGTGTTAATTTGTTATTTTGTTTTCTGTTAGCTCAGAGCTTTACATAAGACTATCTTCGCTCTATCTATCGCGAAGTATCGAACCTCACAATTTGGCATTATAAGTAAGTAAATTTACAGCTGAACCACAAGGGACAGTGTTCAATAATAGGTAGAGTTCAGGAAAAGGTCCGCTATAGTTATAGTGCTAAAACATTGTCAATGACATCAAGAAATTCTTATTCCAATCTACTATGTTTTGTATAATTAAAGAGAGAATAGGCCTGGACACAATCGTGTTGGGTGAAATGCATTATATGTTTTAATGAAACACTTAGAAAACGAAAATTAGAAACCACTATTGTTTCACACTGATGAGAGATTGAATAATACGGTTGAACATGTATTTTCAGACACTGACTTACTTGTCAACCACAAACTGAAATAATGTGTATGTATCAAATCGTTATTTAAAAGCATTAGCATGCAATGATAGAAAAATCTAATCAAATATTCTCATTTTAAAAGGACTTGCTGCTATTAGTTTCTAGAGTTCTGTAAATATATTTACATGTATATTTATACTATTTAATATTTTTTTTACTAAATGGATCTTTTGCTTACGAAACAAAACTACTAGCATATTGGATTTGCATTTCATAAAGCTAACGCTGTTTCATATATTAATTTTGATAAAAAAAATTGGAAATGGTAGTTTGTCTGTAAAATACAACATGTGGCATTTAATACTTACCTATCTTGTTTTTTTAAGGTATTACTGCACGTGTAAAAACCATTTAGAAGTTTTTATATAAATCGTTGTTATTATCCCGAATTCTATCAAAAACTTCTAATTTAACATTTGAAATTAATAATTCTGTTTGTTATATTTTGCATTTTACTCGGCTATTAGTTGTTATAACCTTCTTTATATTTACCTTTAGGCGTTTTTTATTTATTTAGTTTCTTTCTTTTTATTAATTGCAGAAAAAAATATACTCACATATATATATTATTATTATGAAATGGTCCCTAAACATTGGGGTTACTTGACTGCAGGATTTCGTTGTTCAAGAACTGAGACACGCGGTGTAAAACTTCTTTTCGACGTGTTGAAGGTAGAAGAAAATGGTAAGTGAATAGTGGTCAGGAAACCATAGTAAATATTTTACTTTCTTCCTACACTTTAAGTAATTAATATATCTCTTATTAGTTCATAAGTATAGAGTTCGTTGGGGAGTATGTTTTTCACAATTTTAGAATCCACAGTATGTGGTAAAAGTAAAACTAAAAGCTGAAACTATACAATGCAAATATGAATTAGGCTTAGTGTTATATAGATTTAGCCTTTTGCATTGTATTGTTAAGCCTAAAGTGTGTTACAAGGGACTGATTACTCTTACGTTATTGTATTTTCTCCCTATTATATTAGTTACGAGGTTATTGCTGCGCAATTATGACGTTAGTTATACATTTGAGAACCAATGCCACAAAATGGCGTTAGTCTTCGTGTCCTATGTCCACATGATATGATAATCAAGTTACCATTGGGATTGTTATAACAACAATTTTTCCTGCTTGTCATCAATTCTTAATCATCGTATTCTGCCAACCTTTTTAGTTTATGTAATAATTTTTAAAGTAAAAAGCAATTTAAAAGTTTGAAAGTAATTGTTAAAACATTTACGAAAGTAATAACTGAAAGTGCTAGTAGTAACTTGTAGTCTTAGTAGTTGGTGACGATCTTGTTTTGCAACATGATGACCAGTTTGTCTACAGTAGCCTTGACTGCAGAATTTGTAAACGTCGAAGGTAGCTTTTAAAATGTAGTTAGACAAACGAAATGCCTTTTTCTTGCACTTACGGACTCTGTGTTATGCAAGTATTTTCTGCAATTAACGTAAAGGTACCTTGCAAAGAATATTCATAAACACTGGACAAGTGATATTCACATGCTGAGTGACAAAATCAAGTTACTGGACCCATGTACAAATGCTAGTTCGTTTTGCATTGGTGAATTGAAACTTACAAAATACTGTCTTTATAAGTCATACTAACAAAAGCTTACCAACTCCTTATCTAATTTGAAAGGTAAATATTTATGTATTATAAGTCAACATATGTCACTGTCATGTTTACAGTAATTATAATAACTATTTCACAAACTTGTGCATCTTGTTATTGTTGAGTTACATTATACTCTGTAGTTTAAGCTTAGACAAGAAAATTGTATAATGTATAAGTAGAAAATTTCTAAGTTATTATAAACAAAAGTTATTTGTGTTCCAAGACAGCAAATCAAGGAAAATTTCGTACAACTCAGTATTCCAAGATCAAGCTCTATGGTATGATGCAAAAACACTTAAATAAACGAGTTTTTGCATGGTAGTTTTCCACCCATATTGTAGAAATTGATCATAATTAGATCAGAGGTCATGTTAGTTTGTAGAAAATAGCATTTTTAAACACATGCTTTATACAGATGTACTTTCAACCATAACATCTAAATAGGTAATTTCTGCTTAACATGCAAGTAGTAAAGCATTACCTACTGTCTAATGACAAACACCGTACACATTCATGGTAGGATGTCGGATGCTTCATATCTGTAAAGCTATTCATTAAGCTGCATTATTAAACCTATTGAAATAATTTATTTATTTATTGATCACCTCTGCATACTTTTCCAAATATGATATTCTAGCCAGTGCTTCTCAACCTTTTCCAGTATCATTCACCCTTAGTTTTTCCCAACAGCTCACTCGTTCCAGTTGGAAAAAAGTACTAAATTAAAATGCAAAATTCTTTATTATGACTTAAATATACAGCAAACTACAACTAGAATGAATACAAAATAAAATTCCTGGGTGAACCATTCACCTAGTTGAGAAGCACCGTTTTAGATAATTCAGTATTGTTTTATATGTCCACAAGCATGTTAATGAAACTGTTAAAGCCTTAAAGTGTTGTATCTATAATCATGCAGTCACTGAAATGCTTTATAAATAATTATAACTTATTTTATTTATTGGGTAATGTGTAATTAACCAAAGTCAAAACCTAGAATTTTGAACATTCTTCAAGTAACCTAAAAGTTAAGTAAAACAACATAAAGATTACTTCAAAAGGGTTGTTAAGATACTGCATTTGACTAGGGAGATTTGCAGTGTTTCAAAACTACTAGTGCAGATCTTCAGGTCGAAACCTCAAAAACTTTCCAAGACAGGTGCAGTCAATTAATGCCTTGTATATTCTGTGTCATCCTGTCCTCAACCAAGAACATAAAAATTAGAATGTCACTATTTTCTAAAATAAAACTTTTGATAATTATAACTATGTTAAAGTTTGAAAACTATTACACAATGAATAATAATATAATTATAAAACCTATTTAGATAATACAGTATTGTTAACAACACTGCTTAACTTCTGTTTTAAAGAAATTATGGGATAATATGAACATGTTGCAATTTAAAGGTAATCTGAATATTTACTTAGATGTTTAAAACTATTGGAGATGCATGTAATCAATTTTTATTAATTAATAATTTCATTATTCTTAAAATGTATTTGAGTACACTGAAATGGGTGGAAACTGCCTGTTGTAGAAAAAACACAATTTTCAGGTTAGTGTTAGTTTTGTTTTTCCCTGGCAGTTATTTAGATTTAAAGATAATTATTTCCTAAGAAATAATTATTAATCTGAGGTGCTCGAAGATTAAACAATCCTCCTTCACCCCGCTCGTGGTCTAGAAATATGGGCTGAACATGAGAAAATATGAAATTAATGTGGACTGGGTATGTAATTTTAAAAAAATATAGAGTAATTGTAGACAGTAAAAAGTGAAGAGCAAAGTAGACTAAACTAAACGGCTGATATCAGACAAATGGTCCATCAGGGTGGTGGGGGATCTAAAAATCCTATGCTGACAATTTAATGTGGGAGAAATGGGAGTACCCCGAGAAAATAGACTTTCACTGGTAACGACTGATTCGTTACCAGTGCCCAATTATTGAGAAGAAGTAAGTAGTGAAGGCCGGTGCTGGAGGTTGATTAAGTTTTGAAATTGTTGTAGAGTCTCCTCGAGTTTATCATGGATTTGAATATTGATGAGAAAGCGGAAGACTGAGAAAGGTGCGTCGGGTAGGTAGAGATTGGGGGAGGTGTCAATTACTAAGGCGTTCGGTGAGTTAGACACCGATGATGTAGAAAGTGGCTTGGGGCTGGGAGGCGTGTTGTTGGTCTGTTGATATGCGTCAATGGTAAATGGTGGTTGGGTCTGGGTGCCTTTTTTCCTCCTGGTAGTGGTGGTTTGAGTAGACATATCTTGTGTTTCAGGAGTGGGTGAGGTTTGAGTAGCTTGATCTGTTGTTTTAGGATGGGCGGTATAGTACTGGTTGGCAGTGGTTATCTTCCGAGTGTTGTGAAATGTGGGCATGGGGGGTGGGTTAGGAAAGGTATGGGGTGGGTTAGGCTTGGGATAAGGTTTTTCTGCCTTGAAGTGATGATAATCAAGGAATCAGCCATGGGTGAGGATGAGATCTGCTGTATGTTTTGAAGTTGTGACAACTTTCTTAAACGTGGAGGGTGAACCTGTTTTCTTAGACTCGATGCGGTGGATCATGGAATATGTTGTAGTTTTCAGGGCTTGGTGAATTTTTCTGGCGTAAAGGATAGATAGATTGTGTGGAGACTGGCATTGCTTTTTGGGGGTTGGCAAGTGACGGGAGAATTTGAAGACCAGGGGAGGCAAAGGTAGTAGAAATCTTCAAGTGACTTAGGTTGGAGGAGTATGCCTCCCTTCCGTAGACATCGGGTTCGTTCAGGGAATGCTTGGGCTTGGGGTTTGTAGTGGTGTATGAAGTTAGCCGTGTCCCAAGTCGAGTGGTAGTCTGTCGATGATTAACGGCAGTGTAGGATACGAGACAGACTGCATACTGGTGTGTATCAGGTTCAATAGCTAGCGAGAGAATGGTGATCGTGATTAGTGTTTGTAAGCTGTTGTTGGTCCTTTATAGTGTTCTTGTGGATTGTGGAAGAAGTGTTGTGATAGGTTGTTTATCCTTTGTTTTGATTGGTGGAATGGCTACATGTGGCTTCAACCAATGATAGCCATAGGTTGCTCACCTCTAATTCCAAATATCTGTTTATTGAAGGCTTTATTGTACTGATGTAGAAAAATTATTATCTTTCAAAATTTGTCTATGTTGATAATTCTAGTTTTATCCTAGGTTATTCTGTACTCTTAAATGGCTGAATTTTTGGTTCACGAGTCTTTGTGTTCTTTTATTATTGTCTCAAGTTGTCTTTGCATTTATCCAATATATGTTTTGTTGAAGGAACATGGAATTTCATAATTATATTTTTGTGTTTTTCATAATTAGGTTTCTGTTTGGTTTGAACTAGAATAGATCTTATTGTCTTCTAAGATTTCCACCAGACATCTATTTAAAAAAGCAATATGGTGAAAGAGGGGAGCTAGCAAGAGAAAACGAAACAGTGAGGATGTTGAAAAACCAAGGAAGAAAAAGATCTAGTGTTGTTGGTGTCACTGTCACAGCTGGAAAGAGAAAACTAAGCAGACTGTCTTGTTTT